AAAAATTTTATGCATGTAATAGACAAACTGTATTACCAGGAACTCTGGTACCATACCTATCCAGACATGGTAGTATACTACTGTAATTATAGCGCTGTGGACAGCAGGAATATGAAGATCAGAAGTTCTAGCCTAGCCTGGATAATGTTGAAAATTAGAGAGACCCTAACTCAAAATGAAAAATACAAAGAAGGCTCAAGGTATGCCCTCCTGTTAAGACCCTGCCAAAATTAAGTACTTTTATTTAAAACACAATAGAGGTGATAACCATTTCTAAGCACAGTTAATGTAATTTATTAAGTTAAAATCCACTTAAAGTTTACTATTTTACCTCTTTTGATGCAACTAGCACATTCACGATTTTGTGCAAGAAACAAATTTCTCTACTTCTAAAACATTTCCATCAGTACAAAACCTCACCAAGTAATTTTCCTCTCATTTCACTTTCAGTTCCTGTACTCCATTTCTATGATTTTGTTTCTAAATTCTGGGTATTCCACATAAAATATTCATATTAATAGAGACATCATTTTCCTGGATGATTTGAATTAAAAATATTTTTAAAATTCGTACCTGACATAACATGTTTTTTAAAAATTTATTTTGTTCTGGTTAACAATAAATCTACATCTTTAATTGAAAATGTGTGATATAGTACAGTAAGTCCCTGACTTACAGACAAGCTCCCATTCAGGGCGGAAGTCATTAGTAGGGTTTGTTTGTAAGTCCTGCAAAGTGAGTCTTGTGTACCTTTGACACAAGTATACAATGTAAAGTATAAAACATCAAAAAACACACACACAAACACTGCAAATAACTATCTTTGCTTTTACAGTTACCTTAAAATGGTAAGAAAGTCATGGATTTCTCACATTCATGAATCTTTGTAATGAGATATCCCTCTGTATCTGTGTTGTAAGGCTTGCAGTTCAACTGTTGGTAAGTCAGGGAATTACTGTAGTTATAGACACAATGCTTTAAGGCACATTCCTTGAACTTATTCATATTTCATAACTGTGTCCTCATGGCTGGTTATGAACAATTCCTCATTTTTCCCAGCTCCCAGCCCTTGGCAACTAGCACCCTTCCATGTGACTCTCTACCTTCGGGTATACCAAATATTTCATGTAATTGGAGTTATCTGTAGTATCTGCTCTGTGTGACTGGATAGCTTTATTTAGCATGTTCTACAGATTTATTTATGTTATCACATATTGAAGGATTCATAATTAAGGCTAATTGATATTGCATTGCATATATAATCCACATTTTATTCCTCCAGTATTCTATCATTGGTATTTAGGGTTTTTTTGTTTTGAATTTTGGTACAATAAACACGAAGATTCTAGTATATTTTTAAGACTATAATAATAATTCTCTTAGGTAAACCACAGAAATTGGTTTGTGGGCAGTCAGTCAATTAATGTGTGAACTCAAAATGTATCCACACAGTCCCTGAAAATTAGCAGACAACCTCTAGGCATTTCATTAAACTCTCAGATGTTTTACAGTTAATTAACGAACCAATTGCTTGGCTTCTTCTCAGGGATAGTCTCAAAAGGTTACAACAAAGTCCATAAATTGTCTTCCAAAAGCACTGTTAAAAAACACATGGAAAGACCAGGAGTTTCCACTGATAGGTGATGGAGACAGAAGGTTGCAGTCATTGCCATATATTACCAATATCTGTTCAAACGGTCACAGTTTGGTAGGGCTTCATCATCTAAGGTAGGGGAGCATTTGTGACTAAGTTTGTGTGTGTGTGCTTTCTGTTATGCTGTTAGTATTGAGAAGGAGTAGGAACTCTCCTTCTGTCTCACATTACTTCTGACATAGTTTCAAAGACTTTGAGAATATACATACCTCCGACACGTATTGTGTATGCTTATAAAATATTTAACTTTGTCCTTGAGGAATACTTACATAGAGTTGTAGATACTTGTACACTGTCCTATCAAAAGAAGGCCAAAAGTGACCTGAGCTGAAGCATAAATAAAAGGCCACAGAGTTTTCCTCATGAGCAGAATTTGAAACCTCCGGGATTCAGCATCTCATTCTTATATCCTTCCATCACTTATTTACTCTAAGAGGTTTTCTTGGGGAAATCTTATAGAAATAAATGTAAATCAGTGATTAGGTAAATAAATAGATAAATATGATTGATTTTGAATTTTAAAAGGAGTTTCCTCTTCACATCAAGAAAGCATTTGTGTGTGTTTAGGAGATTTAATGACCCAAAACTATTGCATTGGTAAAATATTTTCCATGTTGCAAAGGGATCTGAATAAATTTAATGTTAAAAAATAAAATTCAGAGATTCAGTAAAGGAAGTTCTTTGTGAAAATGCCATTTACCTGTTCAACTGAACTTTAAGAGAGCTGAAAGAAAAAGTTTTTTAAGGCTGGAGATTTAGCTCAGCGGCAAAAGCGCCTGCCTGGCAAGTGCAAGGTCATGAGTTTGGTTCCCGGTACCGGAAAAAAACCAAAAAAAAAAAAAAAAAAAAAAAAAGAAGAGTTTTTCATCTTTCCTTACAGAAAAATAGGAAATTAACTTCTGATCTTTTATAGTTTTTAACTTTTCATAATTACAAATTAAACCAAACAAAAACAACAAGATTTTTCTCTTAGTAGTTTTATTAAAGGCATTATTCTAATGTTGTGATTGGTCAATTTTATTTCACTGGTAATGAAGTCTAAATTCCCAGTGGTGACAGCACAAGGTAAGGGAGGGTACCAGGTAGCTCCAACAGTATAAGCAACATTCTGCATTAGATAACAGTGAGGCATGCCTAATCAGATTGGTATTTAATTTTGTGTAATTTTTTTTCTTTACACCTGACTCACAGAACATTGTTACTACAATTTTAAATTTTAAAATTTTAAAATTTTTAAATTTTTAAATTTTAAACTGTGTCATTTCTTTTTCTTTTCTTAGTTTCGGGAACATAGGTATGACTTTTTTACAACAGTAAGATTGAACTTCCCTTGAATGCCACACATTTGTTTGTATATTATGATTTGCAACCTCTGGCCCTTTAGAGATCTCGGGATACAACTCATTTTACTGCACCTGTATTTCTGTCTCATGAGCAATCATATTTATTTCTTAAGAATTTGGTGTATGGGAAGATTTCAGGTCGCTTCTAGGATCCACATAGATCTCAGAATTACTGTATTTAGTTTGTCTGTGTAATATTGTGTGACATAGTAAAAGTTCTATGCAATGTATATATTTATGAAATTTATAGTGAATATATGTACTTATATATTATATATGTGATTTATATATATTCTATAATAATAACGAGCTTCAGGGAAATTTAAACTTTAGGTAAATTTATACACAAGTACCTTATATTACAGTTTTATTAAAATAACTATGAAAAAGAAGACAGACCTTCCAAAACAACAGTATGGTCTTCATCCAGTTTTACTCGTGGCGTAGGGGCAGGTGTGAGGAGATCAGGGTTGGGATGCACGGCGTGTATTTATTCTGCTTCGTCAGCCCTTCCTCTGCTTAATATTTTACACCAAAGAAGTTAAGGCTTTTTGCAGAACAATGTGCGTGTTCATATATAAAGCAAACCTCTTTAAGGTAAGGCCCTTACTACTTAAAGAAGAAAAATTTTAAAGGGGGAAAAACATGTGCATGATCACAGAGAACTACTTTCAGATCACCAGATACTCTGAATCATGCACTCAACCATCACCATTCTCAACAACCCTTTAAGAACATTTTGATTTTGAGAATGAGGCTAAATAATTTTATTTAAATTACTTGACCATAGAAACCTCTTTGTACACTAATTTGAGGTATAACTTTGATTATATATAGAAATATACATATTTCTGCAGGTATGCTTTTTCATAGAAAGGTAACTTCCATTGTGATGTTTATAATCTTTTATTCGTACATATGTGGGTGACCGTACTATGTTCCCTAAACTAAGAAAAGAAACAGAAATGACAGTTTACATTTAAAGTTGTAGTAACAATGTTCTGTGAGTCAGGTGTAAAGAAAAAAAAATTACACAAAATTAAATATCAATCTGTTTGGATTTTTTTTTTTTTTTTTTTTTTTTTTTTTTTTTTTCCGGTACCAGGGATCAAACTCACGACCTTGCGCTTGCCGGGCAGGAGCTGTGCCGCTGAGCTAAATCCCCAGCCCCATAAATATCAATCTGATTAGGCATCACTTACTGTTACCTTATGCAGAATGTTGCTTATACTGTTGGAGCTACCTGGTATCCTCCCTTACCCTGTGCTGATATATGTTAACAATTTCATTTGTAACACCTATAAATATGTATTTTAAAAGACTAGGTTTTGAAATACTAGCTGTGCCAATCTAACAAACATTGTATCCAGTTTTGGAATTTGTTGTGAGAAACTTTTGATAAGTCATTGACATATGTATTATGCCATTTCATTAAATGTAATGAATAAAGACCACAACATGGTTGTAGGTATATAAATGAAATCCAAGAGTTAAGTAACTGTACGATCATTACACCTATAACTAATAAGCAAAGTTTTCATAATACTTAAGCTTTATACTTTTGTCCCCAGGGCCTTCATCTGTATCTCTAACTGACTCCTGTTTACCTTTTACTTCAGATTTTATTATTTTAGACCAAAGTTATTCCTTTGGTGAAATTTAGGGCTCCATATTCAATATAGCATGGTGCATGGCATCTGAACCTCGTACTAACTGTTAGATGCCCAGAGAAATCCACCTCCCATCGGTGACATCCAACCTGCCTCTAGATATGGAAAGTGTTCTTTGCTGAGCCAGGCCACCTTTCTTGAGAATAACTAGTCTGCTTATGTGTCTACTTCTGTATCATCACCTGGGAATGATGTATTAATATCATAAAACCTACCCTTCAAAGTTAAGATATATCTCCTTTACACTAGTTTGCATAATTAGTCTCCCATGTGAAAATATGGGAAATACATTACTTTTTCTGCTGTGTCCATGTAGAGCATGTTTTGGGGCAAATGTGGATGGAGGAGCACAACCTCACCATGGTGACTGAATTCATTCTGCTGGGCATCACAGACCGTCCTGAGCTGCAGGCTCCACTGTTCGTGCTGTTCCTCGTCATCTACCTGACCTCGCTGGTGGGCAACGTGGGCATGATCGTGCTCACCCAGGTGGACTCCGGGCTGCAAACACCCATGTACTTTTTCCTCAGACACCTGGCTCTCACTGATCTTGGTTACTCTACAGCTGTGGGGCCCAAAATGTTGGAAAATTTTGTAGTGGATCAAAATACAATCTCCTATTATGGTTGTGCCACACAGCTGGCTTTCTTAATTCTGCTTATAGCTTGTGAACTTTTTATTCTGTCTGCCATGTGCTATGACCGCTATGTGGCCATCTGTAAGCCTCTGCTGTACACTGTCATCATGTCTCCAAGAGTGTGTTGGGTTCTAGTGGCAATTCCCTATCTCTACTGCACATCTGTGTCTCTTCTGGTCACCGTGAAGATTTTCACTCTGTGCTGTGGACACAATGTCATCAGTCATTTCTTCTGTGACAGTCTCCCCTTGTTATCTCTTATCTGCTCAGATACACACAAAATTGAATTGATAATTCTGCTTTTATCAGCTTTTGATTTGATTTCCTCTTTTTCAATGCTCCTAGTGTCCTACCTGCTCATCTTTGTGGCCATTCTCAGGATGAACTCCACAGAGGGCAGGTGCAAGGCCTTCTCCACCTGTGGGTCCCACCTGACCGTGGTCACAGTCTTCTATGGGACTTTGATATTTATGTACGTGCAGCCCAGGGCCAGTCACTCCACTGACACTGACAAAGTGGCTTCCATATTTTATACGTTGGTCATCCCCATGTTGAATCCATTGATCTACAGCTTGAGGAATGAAGATGTAAAATATGCTCTTTGTAGGACATGGAAAAAAATATGCAAGTATTTTTCTTTAAAGTTACATACAATGTAAGTCATGCAATACTGTTGCTCTCTTCCATAGATGAGCTCCATTTATCTTCAATTTGGGACTTTTTCATACCACTTAAACTTCAAAATATTCCAAACAAAACATTTAAAGTTGCCTTCCTTAAGGTAGTGAGAGCAATTGTAGTGTAAATGTCAATGTACTTTTCTAGTACATTACAATGGTCTGCTCTCTCCATAACATTGGTACACCATATGGAAATATAAAAGCACACTAGGCACAGAAGATGAGTAAAAAGTCTTTTTTTGAGGAACTGGGGAATAATCCCAAGGACTTCACACTAAACTACATCCCCAGCATTCATTCATGACTATATATATATATATATATGTATGTATATATGTATGTATGTATGTGTGTATGTATGTATTTACTTTGAGTCAGGTTCTTTGGAAATGTCTTATTTGTTCAGTTGGGACTTCAACGCATGTGCCTCCTGCCTCAGCCTCTCATAATGATGAAGACCACTGTGAAGCAGCCCTGAGCAGGATTTAAATTAACCAACTGACTTCCCTTGTTTACTTGTGAGTCTATTCAAGATCTAGGTTCCTTGTCTGGAGATGGCCAATGGTCTCATAGCAATTGAAACTTAGTGAGTCACTAATCTCTACTAAGGCTTGTAATGGGAGATGAAGCCAGAAAGACTCAAAGGATCAGACAAGATCACAGCCAAGGATACCTGGATCCAATCTCAACTAGATAAAGACTATAGCCTCAGGCATCTCCCTCTTGTGTGGATTAACTTAATACCTTATTTGGAGAAGTTCTTGAGTGGTTCCACCCTTCCTGAGTACTCCCCTCCCTTCTTATGATAACCAAATAAATACAGGTGACCCAGAAAAGGTAATGGTTTTAGCCCAAGAGAATTTTGAACTCTGTGAGAGGGCTTTGATCCTTCCAGAGCTCTGAAATCATTCCATACGCCTCTTTTTATTTGACCTTCACCATACACTCGTTCAGGAGATTGCGGACCTGATCAGCCCATAATAACTAAGGAATATTATTAACCTGATATCATTATGCAAAGTTTGTTTGGTATTGTCTGCATTATAGCACTCATTCTCTGTGTCTATGTATGATTTTGTATGTGTGCTTCTTTTTTTGTGTGAGGAGAATCTCACTGTTTTAGGTTTCATATACTCCTAGGCAGTTGTGTTAAAATCAGAACTGACTGAGTTTTCGAAAGGTTTGCTACTGCAGGATGATTGCAAAGAATATGTCCTCAGGTGGGCTAAGTGCATATCCCAATAGTGAAACCTTAGCATACTGTTTTTTTCTCATCAATGAGAAAAAAAATCAGCATTCATGTATTAACCCAATAGAGCCTATTCCCTCAAAAAGATGTGATATGTGAAAGGTTATAGGTCCAGTGCACCATGTAATTTTGAGTAATTCAGTGGACACATGCATGTGTGTGAATACTTGAGTGAATACACATTAAAATTTTAAGAAAGTTATTATTTAAATTGGAAAAGCCCATGTATATTGTTATCTGATAATAAGTAATATTATTATCAAGTTTAGGCATTAGATATTTTATTCATTTTGATGAAAATATACAGCACAGTTTATTTGTTTGAATATATAAGACAATATTGAAATTCCCTACAAAATGCATCCTGCAATGACAGAATTGAAATGTTAACATTATTTTTAGAGGGTATGGAAATATTTAAATTAATGTATTTTAAATTATTTTTCTTTTTCCCAAATTATCCTCAGCAGTTATTGCTTTTATGATATAATGTCAAATACTTTCATTTTAAAAATGAAAATGTGAGTTAATGTACCCCAATATACTATTTCTACAGTAAGTTTTATTTAGATTTCAATGGATCTCAAATAATAGGCATAAAGCAAATGAAATATGCATAGGTGAAATTATATATCACAGTTATTTGGTTTTAGAAGTAAGTACACATTTTATATCTAGTATTAAAATTTTCAACCTTTTTCCCTTGCATATACAGTTTGAAAAATCCAGACTTGTAAATAAGTGAATTAATTGCTAAGATAGCTGGAATCTGTCAAATGTAATATGTCAGACAATGCTTCATCAATTTCAATAAAATTTAGAATAAGAGAAATTACAGAAAGTATAGGACGCTATAAACTTATGTAACAAGCCAATCTATAGGATCAAAGTGAAAATATATTTAATCACTTCAGTTGACCCTAAGAAACTCACTCAGATGCATTTTATGAATACAGAGGATCTAAACATTGAAATTTATATTAAAATAACATCCTACCTGACCACAGATTTGATCCCAGGCAAACAGTGAATTGTAATTAATGCTTAAAAAAAAAGAAATAACCAATGCCTAAAAAGTCTTGGAGAAGTCCAAACAGGAAATTGATTACCATGTTTTTGAAACATACAAAGACAGATAAGGCATCTTGTACATGGAAATTCTACACAAAATATAAACTGATGAATCTATCAATACATAAAAACAGCCTAACATCATGTTAAATTTAAGCCAGGAATTTATGTCTGAGCTGACATTGGCAAATCTAAATATCATTCATTATATAGTAAACTAAAATTTAAAAAATAAACCATACCAGTAGATGGAAAAAATGTTAAGTTCCATGGCACATTAACTTAAACAATTGTGACAAAACTAATATTAAAATAGAACTTCTCTCAGCCCACAAGGCGGGAAGTGAGATTCCACCCACAGGGGAGCAGGATGTGAACATGAAAGCCGGAACAAGGCCTGTGTTAAAGCTCAGCACTGCAGTGAAATTGCAGGAAGAAAGTAAGAGGCCTTGGACACACAACAGGGCCCAGAGACAAAGTCTCCAGCAACCCTAACACCAGGTAGAGACCTACATGGGGTAGGACAGATGCACATTTACAGGAATATTTACAGTAAAAAGCAACTCCTAAATTCATGACAAAATATGTAACTTATAAATAGATGAATGACTTTATGATTTTCTTTAAAAATGACAATACCCAACAAGTCTATAAAAATGTTAGGCATCACTAATCATCAGATAAAAGAAAATCTAAAATATTTTAAACAGATTGCAAAGAATGTTTTTCATCCATTAAGTAGCATCAGTAGGGCTTTATTCCAGAGCTACCTACATTTCTATCAGGAAGTCCAGCACTATACTGCTACTTTGAACCAGCAGGTATCTGGAGTTTATCCTCCTTGGGGCCTCTCTTGTGAACTTTGCCACACGTTCCGCCTGGGGCAGAAACAGTTACCCAAACCTGAATTTGCAGTTCCTTGGGAAAGAGAAAATTTCAGGTAATTTGAAGACTGTTTTAGAAGGCATAACCTAAACCACAAAGAGAATTACAATTTTCACTTCTGTACTAAGCGTTTTAGTGACTAAACACCAGAGGCTAAAATCTAGCTACTTTTGCCTACTCCGTGTGTTCATCACATGCGTTTCTCAAACTCTGGTTTCCTCCCACTTCTGCATAACAATTAAATACTGTTTTCTGTAAAACAAACAAAACAAAATGGAAAAAACATTGAACTTATGTTTATGTAGGTAAATAAGAGTTTCCTAGTTGTGCGTATGTGTTCCTTCTCCTGATCGTGAAGATGATTCAAAGAACAAATGTGAATCTACAGGCCACGGTACGAAAGCATTTGACAGGTTCGACTGTCTGGTTCATTATATTTCATGAAAGGGAAAGTAATTTTGTAAAATTTATGTCGTAGCTACATAAACCAGTAATTTCACATACTATGTTTTTCAGAGTATATCTCTAGTTTTAATGACTTACAAATGTCCAAATAAAACAGACCCAGGTTTTGCTTTATTTCCCAGCTGAGAGGGAAGCGTCCTCTTAGAATACTCTGTAAAACCAACCAGTCAGCACATTCTACAATGAAAGTTATTTGAAGCATTTAAATTAAAATAATTTATCCTTTAATATTTATACAATCATGTAAAGTAAGTGCAAATGTTCTCACTTTATAGGCGAGTAGGTTATTAGCAAATCATTCTACATACTTGCTGAAAGACCTAGAATTCTGATTGTGTTGCAATACACTTTATCTGATATTCTATATGACTTTGGATTTCAGAGAATTTATTTAGTCACCAACTTGGTATTTTCAGTGAAACAACACAGAAAGGGGTAACATAATTCAGTGGTACATTAACATGTTGACCTGAAGTTTTAGGAAATGACATGAGATCACAACCCATGAAAACACCCGTCTTAAAACCAGCTCTGCAGTCAGCTCTATGAGCTCTCTGTTCACTCTCGTTTGACTATCTTCAGACCCACTGCTGGAAAAATAAGCATTCGTAAATCTACACACACACACAACACACACTCTTCTACATACACTCCCCCCCACACTCCCACACACAGGGTTAAATATACGGGCCTAATTCTTGTCGTTGAGGTTCATAGTGCTCATCATGATTTCATAGTAGTATGAACTGTAATTTTTGACTACTCCCACTTTGTTCTGTGAGATTTCAACAAGAAGAGTATCACGGAAGTTACTCTATTTATATTGAAGGGACTCAAAGAGAATCTTGAACTCCACATCGTTGTCTCTTTCCTTTCACTACCACATTATCCTTTTGCTGCCATGGGAATTTAGGACTCATTGCATTTGTCATCGTGAATTGTAACCTGCCCAATCCAATACACTTTCAAGTGTGTGTATTAGTTTCTTGCAGTAGCTGCCTGATATTCTGCTGTTACTATCAAATATGTTACTAAAGTTTATATCAAAAAGGAAAGTCATTTCACTCCTTAAATATATGAAAGGGCTGGTTCTAACAGAATGCTGCTTCTTGGTTGCGTTGGAACATGGTCTCCACGTAGCCATGGTAAACCCAATTCTCTATTCAGTAGGTGAGGCACCCAGAGTCTGTGGGCCATCCTCATCATGGCCTAGGTTGGTGGAAATCTGCATGCCATCATACACAGAATAAATGCACACACATCTTTATGTTTACAGTTGTCTTAAAATGGTAAGGTCGACACTTGGGCTACTTTCTTGATTTTTCACATCTAAGAATGCCCGTAACGTGATACCCCTTAAATTGGGGAATTGCTGTAGTTGACACAATGCTTCAAAGCACATTCTTGGAATTTATTCATTTTTAGAACTGTGTCCTCACAGCTGTTTCTGCACAAATGCTCCTTTCTCCCAATTCCCAGCACTTTGCAACCAGCACCCTTCTATGTGACTCTCTACCTTTGGGTATATTAGATCTTTCATGTCATTGAAGTTGTCCGTCATACCTGTTCCGTGACTGGGGAGATTCTTTTAGTGTAATGCTCTAGAGATTCATCTATGTTATCACATATTGAAGGATTTGTATTTAAGCTTAATTGATATTGCATTGCATGTATAATCCACATTTTATTTGCCCATTATTCTGTCAATGGCTATTTAGGTTTCTTTTACATGTAGTTCATTTTAAATTTTGGTCAAATAAGCATGAAGATTTTAATATGTTTTTAAGACTGTAGTAAGAATTCTTTTAGATAAAACTTAGAAGTTAGGTTCTGGGACATTCATTCACTTAGCACGTGGACTCAGAAATATTACACACTGTCCCTGACCATTAGCAACTTCCAGGCATTTCTCTAAGTTGTCCCTAAGGGATAAATTCTTGGCATTTCATCAGGGGTAATCTTAAAAGGTTAAAAAAAAATCTATAGATTGTCTTTAAAAAGCTGTTAAAAGCACATGGGAAAACCAGGAGAGAGTTTTAATTATAGGTGATACAGTCAGAAGGCTGAAGGCATTGCCATATATTACCAATATGTACACAAATGGACACAGTTTGATAAGGCTTTACCATCTAAGGTAGGTGAGCATTTGTGACTCAGTTTGTGTGCGTGCCTTCCCCTACCCTACAAGTTTCTGAGAAGCAGTAAGAACTCTTATTTGGCTGATATTAATTCTGATATATTTTCAAATACTTTGAGAGTATAAGTACCTGCAACACACACTGCATGTGACTTTATAACATTTAATTTTCTACATTATGAGTGTGTGTGTTAAGTCATATATATTTGTGTGCTGTCCTGTCTAAGACAGGTCACGAGTGGTCTGAGATAAAGTGTATATAAAGGGCCACAGATTTTTTCCTCAAAGGCAGAATTTGCAAACCCAGGGGTTCAGTGTCTCAGTCTGACACTCTTCCAACGCTTATTTACATTCAGTGATTTGTGGGGACTCTCATTGGAATAAATTTAAATCAGTGATTAGCTAAATAAATAGGTAAACATGATTGATTTTGAATCTTGAACAAAGGAGTTTCCTCTTTCACATCAAGAAGTGAAAAACATTAGTGGAGGGTTATGTGGTTTTAAGGACCCATAATTATTATAATGGTAAAATATTTTCAATTTTATTAAGGGATCAGAATAAATTTAATACTTAAAAAATAAAATTCTAATATTTAAGCAAGGTAATTATCTGTCAGAAAGCAATTTGCCTGTTTCACTGAGCTCCTAGGAAAGTGACAGGAAAAGTTTTTCATCTTTACTTATAGAAAAATAGGCAGTTAACTTTTAAAATTTACCTTTTTCAACTTTTAGTGATTACAAACTAAACCAAAAGAAAAATCAACATGATTATTCTCTTTGTGGTTTTATTGACTGTTTTCTTTGCATGTTGTCACTGGTAAATTTTTTCAGAAATCTAAATTATGAGTGATGAGGGCACAGGGCTAGGTAGGACACCAGGGAGCTCTTATAATATAAATGGCATTTTATGTAAGGTAACAGTAAGTGATGCCTAATCAGATTTATATTTAATTTTGTGTACTTTCTTCTCCTTACACAAGACTCACAGAATAGAGTTACTGCAGTTTTAAGTGTGAAGTGTGGTCTTTCTATTTTTTTCTTGTCTTAGTTTAGGAAAAATCACTACATTTTTTTGCAACAGGAAGAATGAGCTTACCTTAAATGCCAAACATTTGTTTTCATGTCATGCTTTGCAATTTCTGGGCCTTGGTGGTATCGGCATACATTTTATTCTACTACTCATGTATTTCTGTGTCTTATGTGCTGTCATATTTATTTCTTATGAGTTTGAGGTACAGAAATATTTCAGATCATATCCTGGGATTTCCATAAATCTCAGAATTACTGACTTTAGTCTGCCTGTATAATATGTGACATAGCAAAATTTTTATGCAATGTTCACATTTATTAAATCTATAGTAACAGCATATATATATATATATATATATACACAGCAAAATATATGTTATAATGATAATGATCTTCAGGGAAATTTAGAATTTAAGTAAATTTATATGCAAGCACCTTGCATTACAGTTTTACTAAAATACCTATGAAAAAGAAGATAAGTAATCCAAAACAAGTGTATGTCCTTCATCCGATTTTACTCGTAGCATAGGGGCCAGGGTGATGGGCTCAGGACTGGAATGTACAGCATGTATTTATTCTGCTTCATCTGTCCTTCACCTGCTTAATGTTTTATACTGAAGAAGTGAAGTCTCTTTCCAGAACAATGTGCGTGTGTGCATGTAAAGAAAACCTCTTTAAGGTAAGGCCCTCTTACCACTTAAAGATCACAAATAAAACAAAGGAAAACGTGCATGATCGGAGAGAACTACGTTAGGTCACTGGATATTGTCAATCATGTACTCAACCATCATCTTTCTCACCAACCTTTTAAGAACATTTTGATTTTGAATATAAGACTAAGAAATTTTATTCCAATTACTTGATCAAAGTAACCTTTTTGTACACTTGTTTTTTGGTATAACATGGACAGTGTAGACAAACATACATATTTCTGCCAGTATACTGCTTCATAAAAAGACAATTTCCACTGTGATCATTACAGTCTTTTATTCTTCCATCTCTGGTGTGTGTTAACAATTCATTTGTAACACCTGTAAGTACAGGTATTTTAAAGGACCGGGTTTGGAAATAGTAGCTGCAGCATTGTATTCATTTATAGAATTTGTTGTTAGAAACTTTCCAAATATTATTGGCATAGGTATTATGTTATTTCATTAAATGTTATGAATAAGGACCACAATGCGAGTGTAAGTAAGTAAATGAAAATCAAACATTAAAGAACAGTATGACCATTAAACCTTTAGCTAAAAGTTTTCACAATGCTAAGCTTTATATTTTTTCCCCTTGCTCTGAATCTGTATCTCTTTCTTGCTCTCTATTTATCTATTACTTCAGGTTTTTTAGTTTAGAACAAAGTTAGTGCTTTTTTTTTTTTTTTTTTTTTTTTGGTTTTTCTCCGGTACCAGGAACCGAACTCACGACCTTGCGCTTGCCAGGCACAAAGTTAGTCCTTTGGAGTTTACAGCTCCATACTCAATATCGTATGATGGATGGCATCCTAACCTCCTTCTCACCCTTACATGACTAGAGAAATCCACTTCCCATTGGTGACAGCCACGATGTTTCTAGATATGGAAAGTGTCATGAGAATAACTAGTCTGGCTATGGGTCTACTTCTGCATGATCACCTGGGAATGATGTATTAATATCATAAAACCTACCCTTCAAAGTTAAGATATATCTCCTTTACACTAGTTTGCATAATTAATCTCCCATGTGAAAATATGGGAAATATCTTACTTTTTCTCCTGTGTCCATGTAGAGCATGTTTTGGGGCAAATGTGGATGGAGGAGCACAACCTCACCGCGGTGACCGAGTTCATTCTGCTGGGCATCACAGACCGGCCCGAGCTGCAGGCTCCACTGTTCGTGCTGTTCCTTGTCGTCTACCTGACCTCGCTGGTGGGCAACGTGGGCATGATCGTGCTCACCCAGGTGGACTCCGGGCTGCAAACACCCATGTACTTTTTCCTCAGACACTTGGCCATTACTGATCTTGGTTACTCTACAGCCGTGGGACCCAAAATGTTGGCAAATTTTGTTGAAGATGAAAATACAATCTCTTATTATGTTTGTGCAACACAGCTGGTTTTCTTTGTTGTGTTCATTGTTAGTGAGCTTTTTATTCTGTCTGCCATGTCCTATGACCGCTATGTGGCCATCTGTAACCCTCTACTCTACACTGTCATCATGTCCCCAAGACTATGTTGGGTTCTTGTGGTGATTCCCTATCTCTACAGCACATTTGTGGCTCTCCTAATTACCATAAGGATTTTCACTTTATCCTTCTGTGGACACAATGTCATCAGTCATTTCTATTGTGACAGTCAACCCTTATTAGCGTTGCTCTGCTCAGATACTCACGAAATTGGACTGATAATTCTGATCTTAGCCATTTTTAATTTGATTTCCTCCCTTCTGGTTATCCTCGTGTCCTACCTGCTCATCTTTGTGGCCATTCTCAGGATGAACTCCACAGAGGGCAGGCGCAAGGCCTTCTCCACCTGTGGGTCCCACCTGACCGTGATCTCAGTTTTCTATGGGACTTTGACATTTATGTACGTGCAGCCCAGGGCCAGTCACTCCAGTGACACTGACAAAGTGGCTTCCATATTTTATACGTTGGTCATCCCCATGTTGAATCCATTGATCTACAGCTTGAGGAATAAAGATGTAAAATGTGCTCTTCATAGGACTTGGAAAAAGATATGCAAATTTTTCCTTTAAAGCCATGTTCAATAAAGTCATGCACTACCCTTGCTTTCCTCTGTAGATGGGCTCCATATACCTTTGAAGTGTGGACTGTGTTGTATTCCTTAAACTTCAAAATGTTACAAATGTACCAGTGAACAAAATAATTAAAACTGTGCTTCCTTGAGATAGAGAGATCAGCTGGAGTATAATATTCAGTGAATTTGTCCAATATATTAAAATGATACAGATTAATAAACCTGGTATGCTGTATCTGAGTATAAAAGAATAGTACGCATAGAAGATGAATAAAAAGGCTTTTTTGTTCTTTGAGGTACAGGGGATTCATCCTATGGCCTTCACACTAAGCTGTATCTAGAGAATTTATCTATTATTTATTTATTTGTTTGTTTCTTTAGAAGCAGGTTCTTGAGATGTCTTTACTTTGTTCAGGTGTAAATTGCCCTTATGGTTCCTCCTGCCTCAGTCTCTCATAGTGCAAAAAAAAATTTTTTTTGCTATTTTCAGCATTACAATAAACTTTCCTGTGTCCATCTATGAGTTTGTGTCTGTGCTTCTTTTCTGTATGTGAGAACATTACTGTTTTAGGCTCCATATATGATGAGGTGGTTGTGTTAAAATTAAACTTGATTGTATTTTCAAGAGATTCATTGTAGCAGAGTGATTGCATAGATTATGTCATATGATCATACTCAAGTGTCCTAAGTAGGTGTGCTAATATTATAATCTTAGCATGCTTTGCATTTCTCATCAGTGACCCTATGATCATGTATTGACCCTTTAGAGACTATTTACTCAACAAATCTGCTATTCAACAAGCCACAGGTTCAGCTCGCCATCTGGTTTTGTGTAATTCTGTGTATGCATGTATGTGAGTGAATACATATTAAAATTTGAATAAAATAATTATTTTAATAATAAAACTCCATGCGTATTGTCATCTGGTAATATATATATTACTAATGAGGGTAGGCTGTAGATATGTTACTCATTTTGATGAAACTACACAGCGGAGTTTATTTGTTCATATATGCAAGACAATATACTTCCTTTCAAAATGCATCCTGGCACAACAGAATTCAAATGTTAATATTATTTGCTGGTAGTTACAGAAGTATTTAATGTATTTTAAATTAGTTTTTGTTTTTTCCCAAATTACTTTTAGCAATTATTACTTTTCTACTGAAGTTTCTAATACTTTAATTTGAAAACTGAAAATGTGAGTTAATGTACCCTAATAAACTGTTTTTAAAATAAATGTTCAGAATTTCAATAGATCTCAAATAGCAAACATAAACAGAATGTAATACGTTTATATATCATATGTTATACATTATATTTATTTGCCTTTAGAATTCTGTATGCATTTTCTAATTTATAAGTTGTATTGAGAAGTTTTGAACTTATTTCCTTGTATATGTAATTTGAAAAATCTGTACTGTCAAATAAATAAAATTGATGAGGTAATTGGAGTCAGTGAAATATAGTATTTTAAACAATGCTTCATTGGGGCTGGGGATTTAGTTCAGCGGCAAAGCACCTGCCTGGCAAGCCCTAGGTCGTGAGTTCGGTTCCCGGTACCGGAGAAAAACCAAAAATAAAAAAATTTAAAAAAAAATGCTTCATTAATTTCAATAAAATTTAGAAGAAGAGAAATTACATAAAAAATGGAAATATACTATGAACATCTATAACCAGCCAATCTATATTTGAGCTTAGGATCATAAGTGGTGACACATTTAATTAGTTCAGTTGACCCTGAGAAACTCACTCAGAGGCATTTTATGAATATAAAGGATCTCAACATTGAAAATTATATTAAAATAATATTCTATCTGACCACAGATTTGACCTCAGGCAAACTGATGAATGAATTTTAATCATTGCTTAAGTAAAAAGAAATAACCAATATCTAGCAATTCTTGGAGCAATCCAAACAGGAGATGTGATTTCTACATTTCTCAAAAATTCTCTTCACCAAAACAGATAAGTCACCTTGTTCATGAAAATTCTAAACAAAATATAAACTAATGAATCTAGCAATACAGAAAAACAGCAAAGTCCCATGTTAAATTCAAACCAGGAATGTATGTTTGACTAATATTTGAAGAGCAAAATATTATTTACCAAATAGGAAACTAAAATTTAAAAATATAACATGAGCAATAGATGTAAAAAATATTTCAAAGTGCAGTAATTACAAAAATGGCGGCCAAGCTAATATTGAAATAGAGCTTCTCTAGGGTGTACAGCACTGATGTTTCTCCCCGTTACCTTGGAGCACAGAACTGCTTTATTGGCCGCAAGAGATTTTGATTGAAATGGAAATATACTACGAACATCTATAACCAGCCAATCTGTAGTTGAGCTTAGGATCATAAGTGGTGACACATTTAATCACTTCAGTTGACCCTGAGAAACTCACTGAGAAGCATTTTATGACTATAAAGGATCAAAACATTGAAATTTATATTGAAACAACATTCTATCGGGCCAGATTTGACCCCAGGCAAACTGATTAATGAATTTTAATCACTAAACCATCTGCAACCGTCTGCAGCACACCTCCGTGTCCGGAAACACAAGCACAGCACCTAGGTGCCACGCACCTTCGCTTCCAATCCCGCTAGAATTCTGCGCATGAGCACACAGTGCCGGTACCCACGTTTACTTTATCCTTCTGTGCATGCTGTGAAATCTGTCACATCTTCTGCCGCATCCTTTCTCCCGGCTCAGTTTCTTGTTCTGATATGCACAGGCCAGACTCTGCTCTTGCACTTCTCTCTCCATGCACAGTCCTGAGTGTCCTCCCAAGCCGGGCTTCACTTTGTCAGCCCGTCCCAGGATGTTCCCTGCCGGAAGGAAACTGCAAGTCTTTTCCACACAGGTCTCTCACCCAGCTGGGGAGTTTATCTTCTCACAGTACTGTTCATTCCACGTATGTGAGATCGTGTTCCAGGTACGGCTTGCGTCACGACCGGATAGTGTTTAAATTTTACACCTACTGAGTCTCACGCTGAATTATGCCTTCTACAGCTTGGGCAACAAAGATGTAAAACAGAAAATGAAATAAAATTGATTTTTCAATCAAGGATATTTTTCACATTAAAAATTAAGAGTGGTACTCTGTATGTCAGTATCAAGAACATACGATGAAAATCTTTATTTAAATAATTACTGCAAATGTCTCTTTGTGGATGTTTTATTGTACAGTATTTATTTTTAGTTTTCTGAGACAGGGTCTCACTATGAAGACCAGGTTGGTCTTGAACTCATTATGCAGTAAAACGTAACTCCACCTGACCCCAGCCAGCTATTGTCTCTTGTCTTTATTTTCTAAATCCTCTCTCTGATTTCTCCCAGGGACCACCGAGTCCTACGTTACTGACTTGATCAAACACAAAGTAATTAATCCAAACAGGAAGTAAAACTTCTTCCACTAGGCTAGAACATTTTCTGTAAAAGAAAGGAAGTCAAGTGATGCCCATAGACCTGGTCACAGTACAGAAATGTTGAAAAGGGCGGGGAGGAAAATGTGCTGTGCACTGCTCTTCCCACAGCTCTAAGCCGGCAGCACAAGAGGAAGAAAGAACGGAGTTCAGGCCTTGAAACTGAGCTCCAGTTCCACATCCCACACAGTGAATCCTATTGGTAGGAAGAGCCCAGCCCTACAGGAAGGTCTAGCTCCTTATTTGCATCCTCTTTGATATCATGGGTCATTTTGACTATCCCATTTTTAAATTCTTTGAAATTTCTTCCACAGAAATATCAGTCAGATCTGTTTTAGAGAGTTCCGAACCCGGGGAAACATGGTTCTTTGTTTTATGATGATTATTGTGTGTGTGCGTGGTGTGTGTGTGTGCACAGGGACCCCCCCAACCTCAGGCAGCAAGGCCGGAAGTGAGACTCCACCCACAGGGGAGCAGGGTATGACTGTGGAAACCAGTACAAGGCCTCTTTAAAGTTCAATATCACTGCAGTGATACTGACTTAAATCCAACATGAGAAGGAAAGTAAGAAGCCCTGAACCCGCAATGGGGCACTGAGACAAAGCCTTCAGCTGCCCTAACATCAAGTAGGGACCTGCATGGGGAGGGACAGACTCACATTTTGCCTGCATCATTGTCAGGCGGGGAGTAGGGTGGGGATGCCCTCACCGAAGACAGCATTAAGCTGAGCTTCAGTTGTCACTCAGCTTGTGGGCCATGGGACTGTTTCCACCGCTCATTCCCCGCCCATGGGGAGCACAGCCCTCCCCACACCTGTTTACAGACAGTGATTATAGAGCTGCCCGGACACCATGCAGAGAAGTGGGCCCTGGGGACAGAGTCTCAGGCTTTGGCCTCTAACATCAGCACCTGGAAGGACCACTGACAGCACTGCTGTCCTGACACGGTGACAGGATGACCTTCACCACCGCTGCGCAAACCCTGGGGCACCCAGCCTGGTGTGGAACTTCATTCACTAGGCCAGGAGAGGTTACTTTGCATGGGACTCTGTCCTGAAACCCACAGCAGGGTAGGTGGGGATCTTAACAGACCCCAGGCTTCCCAGGTGTGGAATCAGGAGCACCCCGTCCCAGCAGAGGCACAGCTGCAATGGATCTACCAAGGTCATAAATGGCTGGTTGCAGGATCTGTGGCCAGGAGGAGACCTCAGCAGTAGGCAGCCTACAGCAGTGTGGGCCATGGACTTCCCCAGCGCTGTGCTTTAATAGGCTGGAGGCTAAGGTGGGACACAGGTTTGGGGCCTATCTGTGCTCCCATCATCCTCTAGTGATGAAACAGTGACCAAACATCCGTAGTCATTAGAAGCACGGACTCATGTTTCCATCTAGTGGTTTGCAGTAAAAAATGGTGACAGGAGCAAAAAAAAAGGAAGACATTGCTTAGATTTTCTGGAAAGACAAGCACAAAGCTAGATCACAAAGAGCAGAATAAAAACCCAGTCATATAATGACCTTGTCATGCCACATACCAACAGAAATGAAAAGTTCAAAGCAATGCTGACCTTGT